GCCGGGCGACGTTGAGGTAACAGGGGTTGCGCGGACGGTTGACCAGGTGGAATTGGAACTGGCTGAGGCGCGGGCGGAGGCTCCCAGAGGCGGAATGGGGGGCAGACCGGTGGTTTGCCGGGGGGTCTCGCGCGGGTTGATAATATCCGGGATGAGGCTTCTCGACTGAGGCTGGGCCGTGTTGGTGCTGTGCAGGGTGGTTGTCGTACCCGGCGGGGTGTAGGGAGGGATCGCTTCAGGGAAAGGAGCGACCGAGTGGTAGGAGGGAGCTTCGGAGACTGCAAAGATTTTGTCATAAGCCTGGGGCTGTCGCAAGGGCTCAAGGTGTTCAGGCCAGGATGCACTAGCTAGAGGAGCGCAACTCACTGTATGACGGAGCGGCCGAGCGAATAGAAGCCGTCTCGAAGTCCTCGGCCGTCAAAGCCTCTGCGCGCGCAGGGAAGAAATGGCGGCTGTCCAGCGAGGCAGCCATAGTTGCGGTCATGGTGTCAGAAAGCTGTCCAGCAGCTGCGTTTCATTCGTGACAACTTGTTCGAGTGCTGTGGCTCAAGTGTTCGCTCGCAGGCTCAGGCAGGTCGTGTGAGAAAGATTGCGGCGAGCGTAGGATATATTGCCCGGGCTAGTTCGGTAATCGACGTTCCAGTGCCTGCCAGCCTCAACGGCTTGAAGAGGGAGGACAGGTGATCGTCTGCGTGAGACGGGCGTGGTGGCAGAGGTGTCGTGTGCTGAGACAATCGCGACTTCTATCAAGAGGAAGGGGGGTTAGCACACCTACGCAGGGATCGGCGCGATTAAGGCAAGCCCGACCGTCTCCTGGTCACTGCTGGCTGCATGATCCAGCCGAGCGGCCGACAGCCTACTCTACTCTGGGCTGGCAGCAGGTCAAGCCGAAGGGGCAGGATGGTGGGTGGAATGCCCCTTTCAGGGTTGCCATCCCGCCCCCATCGAGTGTCGACATCTGATGTGATGGTGGTGCGGGGCCACGTGAGAGGGGTCTGCAGCTCACCTTGGAGGTCTATGGGCAGGGGGGCGGAGGTTGGTCGGGCTGGCTTGTGTAGGTGTCTGCGTGTTGCAGCGATGTCCGGAAGAAGCCTGGCGTCCAAGAAGAGGGCTGGAACACACATGTATTGTATGTACGTGGGTGTGAGGAACAGGTAAGGCGGGAAGGTGGGAGAGGGGGGGGATTAAATTGTCACGATAGCGGCCTATTTCTGTCCTTATAGATCGGAATGCCGGCGCAAGCAGGCAGAAGGGGCGGGCCAGAACAGACAAGAGTGACAGGCTGACAGACAGCGAGCCGGTCTTGGGGCACTGGCGCGTCGTTTGGCGGAGACCTATAGGAGATGTGACGTTTTGTCCGCTACTGGCCGTGTTCCTGGCGCGAGACACAAGACACGCCCAGCCTCGACCAAGACCCAGACCAAGCTGCGGCCCAGCCAGGCGAGGAAAAGTGACCGACACGGCCGGCCAAAAAGGCTGGGTCGGCGGGGATAAACCCGACACAGTTGAGCGGATAGAAAGCGGGTGCCAGTGCGGGTGCCAGTGCAGGTCCTTTTCTTTTGGTTGGGGGTGTTCCTGGTTTATCCACAGGGAGGAGCCGGGTGCGGGTGGGTAAGACAAGCAGGACAAGCAGCAAGACAAGGTCAAAGACAGCGGCGGCAGGTTGGCATGTAGGTGTTGCGTGTCCCTTGTTGGTGTAGGGCCCTGTTGCCGAGGTAATTTCGACGGCGGATAGGACCCATGAGAAAGGTACGAATATAGCTGAGAGTGAGGGAAAGACGGAAGATGACAGAGAGAGACACAGAGAGAGAAAGTCGCAGGTAGTACAAGGTGGTCAGAAATTGATGCCGAGAGCCGGGGTACTATGCAATCCCAATCCTGTAGGCGGTCGGTCAATAGATAGCACCTCCCTACCAAGGTACCCTAAGGTAGGCAATTACCCAGGTCAGCATCTCGGAGGAAGGTACGTCTAGGTAGAGACGACTTGAGAGGAGAAGGAGAGTGGACGCCGTCACCGCGGGGTCATTGACTGGCGTGAGCGTGTGGTCGTGTGGTCCGCCAAGGCCAGAAATAAGTAGCCCACACTTGGGCGACTGGTCTTGGTTTGGTGCTGGCGTCAAGATGGGAAACTTTGGGCCTTGTCGTCACAGCTCGCCGCGTCAACCTCCATCCGTTCTTCCCATTTCTTCGATCTTTCTTCCCCCCCGCCAAGCCTGCCTGCCCTGTAAACAGCCCGCAAAGACTACCTACCCCGCCGAACGGGGGACCACACGTGCAGTGGGTCCCATCTGGGTTAGGAGGTCCCTCGATTGGCCAAAACACCGATAACGCGTCGCTTGGCGTCGACGCAGGGGGGAACACGGGCCTGACGGGGATTTCATACCGAATAACCGGGGCGTTTGGATCGCGCGACTGAAGGAAGGTACGTGCAGGGGCACGCTAGGTTCCACGTACCACCGACACCCAGCTGCTTTTTTAGTATGGCGCTCGCTCGCAATACCGTGGCAGCTGCGGGGTGGTCTGGTCGTACTTGCTGCGTGGTGGTGCTCGGCGCTGCAACAGATACTCCTCGAGTGGATAATATGCCTCCCCATCGGGATCTTACGGCTGCCCCGCCACACCTCCACGCGCCTGGCCGCAGGTGCTACTGGCGGACAGTAGCCGGCTTCACAGTAAGAGTAAGGTACCAGGGAAGGAGGCAGCCTGCGTCACCCATTTGAGAAGAGGAACGGCAAGTGAGGCAGGCAAGTTATGCAATGCCAGCACGGGTGATGCATGCCATGCATATTGGCCTACGGAAAGCACCTAGGTACCTCGAGGAAGGCAGGTATCTGTACTGTTGCTCGGGCGTTTCGTACAAAGCCTGTTTTCGCATTTTAGTCCATGGGGCAAAGGTCGATAGGGGGAGGCAAGCGTCAAATTAGGGAGTTTAACCCAAATTCTTGAGATCGGTTCTTTAAGGTGGGTAGAAACATACACATGACAGTCCTGACGTGCATGCGATGCATCCAACACACGCAGCCATTGAGTAGGTAGTCGTGGTGCCTCGCCAAGACTCTCATCAGCCACACCCCATCCTATCCCATCCTACCTGGTGGTGGTGGGAGGGAGGACATTCCATTCTAAGGCGTCTGCCAGCTGTTCATCCTGAAAGGAAAGGTCAACTGCTGTCTCTTTTAGTCTCTCGTTCAGGACCCAGCATGCAAGGCCGCCTTGCCACAGACAGACACTGCAGCACGCATGCAGTGTTGCTCGTTCCTACAAACTCTTGCGGTGAAGCAGACCGACAAACGCGCGTCAATGTATCGCCAAGCACGACACTGCCCAAGGTCAATGTCTCATGGCTGGATGAGAAGCGACTCCTCTTTGACGCAAAAGGACGTTGCCCGAACCACCATGAGGAGGCTACGAGCCTGTCCATACCATACACCAACACTCTTCCTCAAACTCACGAGTCTTGGGTTCTTTTGGGGTGAGTGGAACCTCTCCTCGTCAGCCCAATGTGGCGTCAGTAGAAGCAGGTCCATCCAGTCAACGGTCCAGCTCTCAGCCGTTGTAGGTTTGGTGACGACCTTTGCAGATCGGTCCCCATGATCGATTTGACGCTTTCCGACACGTCGGTATGCTCAGCCCAGTCCGTCCTTGATTTCCCTTGGTGCCAATTTTCACGAGTCCATTCCTTTCATGTCGGTCATCGTACGCCGCCCGCTGCCAAGATGCTTGGTATCGCGAATAATCAAGTCGACGACTGACACGTTTCGCAACAAGTCTCGCCTCGATGATGGGGCATCAGCTTCCCCCGACTACATGCTCTCTTGTCTTCATCACCATCGTCGCTGTCTGTCTTTGTTCTTCTTTTGCTTCTTCCAGAATTCGTTGGTTTGTCTTGGCGGTCGATCACTGGGTGAGGCGCCCGCTTGCAGGCTCTCCCCACCGCTGCCGCCATCTGGTAACCACCCCCCTCCCCCCTTTTCCTATTCCCCTCACTGACGGCACGTCGGGCGCGATATCACCATGTCATCGGTCTCCATGCCCCACCACCAAGGCGGCCAGGCCAGGCCCCTCTCTCTGTGCCCGTACCGCCGCAAGCCAAGCACGGAAAAATAAGGAGGGCCCCTCCCGCAAGAGCCGCACACGCGGTGTCTTGTTGATCTACTTCCTTGTTTTCTGCAATACGTCGTAATGTTGCTGATCGTCGATCACCCCCCTGAATCTCCCTAATCCCTGTTGTCTTGCTATGTTAGGCGAGGGCTTCACTCGATGTGCTTTGTGGCTTCTCATTGCATGATCGATTCTTCCTGTCATTTCTGGGTGACGGCTGGTTATCTACAGAAACCCAACGCACTATTACACGTCTTTCTTGCCGACAGTGCCCCCCTTTCTCAGCCCCAATATGACAATGATCACAACGGCAACCGTGCCCGCAAACATGGTCCAGAACGCCGCGCGATATCCTGTCATCAGCCGTTCTTCCCGGTTCTCGATCCCCGAGTGCTCAGATACTGATGCTGCAATGGCCGCCGTAGCCGCGAGCCCGACTGAATTGCCAAACTGGGCGACCTCGTTGAATACGCCCCCCGCCAGCGACTGGAGATCTGCCGGGAAGGCATCCGAGATGACGAGATTCGACACAGTGAAAAAGACTGCGCGGTGGGTGAGCACATGTCTTGGTCCACGCGGGCCTCCTTGAGGGCCTCCTCGAAGGAAAGTGAAACTCACCATCTGGATTAATCGGGGAAAGCACCATGGCCCAGAAAGGCGCGTGCCAGTAGTATGAATCAATGGGTACCGTCGCCATGAGGACCGGCGCCGCGACGGTGATGATGCCTGACACGACGGCTAGCGTCTGCACCTTGACCCGCGAGATGAGGTACGCCGTGGCGATGTTGGTGAGCACGCCCGCAACGACGTGCGGGAGGAACTGCAGTGAGCTCGTCATGGCGGATGTCCCTTGTACCTCTTGGAAGCTGTCGTCTCGTCAGCAGCGGTCAACGGGCCAGACGAGGCCACGCCATGATAGATATACATACTAGAGGGTCGTGAAATACTGGATCCCATTGAGGGCCGCCCAGCAGAAAAATACCGACAGGCAAACCGAGGTAAAGGCCGCGTTTCGCCAAAGCCGGTTGGGAATCAGTGCCGGCCGGCCTTTCCGCGTCTGAAACGCCATCCAGGCCGGGAAGCTCGCCAACAGAAAGACGGATATAGAAAGCAGCGCAATGTTGGGCGCATCGCTGAGCATCCTGTAGGAGGAGGACGTCATGGCCAGGACGTAGAGGAGGAGCCCGAGGGCGACGCTCATGATGAGGGCGCCCACCCAATCAATGTCTTCGACGAGGCGTCGCGTCCACTTCTTCTCCGACGCCTGACGAATCGCCGGCAGCGACCAGATCGAGGCCAGCGACAGGCAGAGGTTGATGCCGGCCATCATGTGGTAGGCCCAGCGCCAGCCGATCGTGTCCGTGAAGATGCCGCCCAGCACGAGGCCTAGGGCATAGCCCAGCGGCTGGCCCATGCCGTTCATGGCGAAGGCGACGTTGCGCCACGTCCCGCGCGGGAATGTGTTGGTGATGAGACTGACCGCCGTCGGCAGGCACATGGAGATGGCGACGCCTAGCATGGTCCGGAACAGGATAAGCTGCAGTCCCGTCTGCGCGAGGCCGACGGCAACGGTGAAGACGATGAACAAGAAACTGCCCGCGACCCACATCCGCTTCGGCCCCACCACGTCGGCAACGGCCCCGAAAATGAGCAGCAGGCAACCGGCAGCCAGGGCGTAGACGGCTGCCGGCCACAGGATCAGCGCCTCTGGGAGGCCCACGTCACGAGAGATACGAGGGAGGGCTGCTGTCAGGATGCCGGAGCCCATTGTGTTGAGGAAGCTCATGCCGGCGAGTGTGACGATCACGGTGACGCCTTTGGCCTTCGAGACCTGGAGCTTGGCGGTGTCCGGCACAGGGTTCGGAGGCGCGCGACCTCCCGAGAGCGGTTGGGTAGATTCGTTCGCCAACGGGTCAGAAGCTGCGGGTGTGATATCGTCATGATGGAATGTCTTTGTAGCGCCAACGGGTCGTGGTGCGGATATCGGTTGGAGTTCGATGGCGGGTGTCACTTGGAAGGCAGCAGCCTGTAGAGCCGTGTTCGTAGGATCCGAAGGCGGCCGTATCGAGTCCATCGTGCTCAAACTTGATGCAAACTTAGGAATACTAAGTTTTGATGTGCTTCGCCTGTCGGAGGAGCGCATGCCTGCCTTATATAAGGTAGGCAAGTAGGTACATTTCATGGTCCCACATGTTTTGTTAGCTATCATCGTATTTCCAGGTTGGATGGATCAATTGCCATGCGCACAGAACAGCATCATGCGGTACACTCCCAAATCTCGACAAGAGTATCCATGACGATGCATGTAGTCGATAGCAACAGCGATAGCCATGGACAGGGTAGAAGAAGGATTAGCAACGATGACAGACAAGGGCGCCAGGGCGTCGATGACATGCCCCACTGTCAGCGTGTGACGACACGAGCCTTGCCGCTGCAACATGTCCGGTAGAGCACCATGACGTTCCGACTTCACTGATCAAGTGAAAGCGATCCGAGATTAGTGTAGTAGTGTCTGGACTGAAAACAATTCGTAGCATGACAACTTCCTAGCTGGCTAGCTACTGTGGTATAAGCTTGTCAGTGCCTCACCTACAGCCAGTCCGTTGTGTGAATATGGCGAGCCTATCATTTCAGGTTGATGGTTTGCGCTAAGTGACAATACTGCACTACTCGAGAGTGTGCGGCCATTCTGACCGATGCAGCGCTCTGGGAGGTGCCAATAACCAAAGCTATTGAGAATTGCGGGATACTGCGCGCTCCCTGCTCAGAGAAGCAATGCATTGGGTGTGGCAGCCTGTCGTGGACAAGACGGATGGAGCTCAAAAGCAAGGACACATCCATGTCCGTGGTCACGTGAGCTCGTGTCGCGCATGCTCCTCAGCCGTTCGAACCCCACCATCCCAGCGCGTTCAGTTGGCGATTGGCCATGACTACACACCAACTTGCGGTTTTGCTATCCAACGACAGCTTTGTAACGCCCGGCAGAGAACAAGACGATGCCAGAAACGAGATGGCGACACGAACTGGCGTGTCTGGCGGCCATGCCCCTCCCTCCACGCTCGCCGCGCAGCTCGTGGAGAACATCTCTGCGTCGACGAAATCGTCCCGATCTGACGACAATAGCGAGCTGAGAAAACTCTCGGCGACGATCCAGGAAGTCGAAAGCAATCCCGGCATCCTCAAGACGCCCGAAGATCAACTGCGACACAATCACCTTCTCACATATGTCTTCATACGAGCAGTCCTCGGCGGCATCAAGCTGAACGATCCATTCCTCGACCGCAAACACCTGAAAAGCGAGGTCCTCCAAGCGATCAGCTTCCTGAAGCTCATAATAAAGGAGACACCGGCTGTCTTGGCGTACAAAACTGCGGAAACGCCCTTTGAAATGCGCGGCGACGAGCCACTGTGGATCTGGGTGTTCCCCAAGATCCTGCGTCTGCTTGGTCACAGCCGCTGCCTCGACCTAACAGCCGACATAGAGACCTTCTTCTATGAGCTACTTGACATTCTTTCATCTGATAATTCACTGTGGTGTCTGGTCTCCTCAATCACGGTGTACCTTCGAGAAATTGCAAATGGTACGATGAGCGGCAGAAGCCATGGTTCCGAAGTCTTGAGTGCCACTAACATCCTACAGCGCTTTTGCTGCGACTGCGAGACACGAATACAATTATGAACGGACGGGACGAGTCTTTACAGGTCACGCTACCGGAGGATGGGACATTGGAGCTTCTGGTCGGAAAGGCTACCATACATACCATCAAGCAGAGCACCTATACCATCTCGGGCATGGCGGTTGGCCTTCGTCAAGCATCAAGTCTTCTTAAAATTCTTGGCCACCCTCTTGTGTCGCAGCAGCATGCCATGCTGCCAGACGACTTCTTCGCCGCACACCGTCCATGGCTCGCGGACTCTCTGCTCTCCCTGCGAGCTCTCCTGGAAGGCTGGCAGCATACTGTGCCGCTCGGACGGTCTGGAGTCCTTCGAAGCACCCTGAATCTGCTTGCGGGGGACTTCAAGGGCACTAAATCAATTGCGAAACGAAAGGTTTACACCATCCTGGCGCTTCACTGTGCAGATATCATCCAACACTTCTCCGAACTCACGACGAGCGAAGGCGAAGAAGCCACCACTGCGCAGCAGATCTTCTGCTGCGCGCTACTTCGTCTATCACATGCGGCTTTGCATGACAGGAGCATCGGTCGCCTCTCCATGGCTAAGATCGTTTTGCCCGCAGAATCCGGTCTTCTTATCCAGAACCCTTCGTGGGACAAGTCAAGTGACATATGGGTGCGTTAACAGGTGCCTCGGGTAGCATTGCAGATGCTGACGTTCTCACCAGAGATCTATTCAGGTTTTGAAGGAAACATCAGGCTCGACACCACCTGACATACTCAGTCCGGATTGCCAACCAGGACTCTTTGCTGATTTAAACCTGCAGCGTCAAGTGGAACGCTTGGGCCTGAAGACGACGACCGAGTCCGTTATTGAACCCAAGCCGAAACGCAGAAAGCTCTCGCAAAACTCGTTCGAGTCCACTAAGCTTCCCAAGTTGGTTGCGCAGATTTACAAGATATTGGGTGCAGACCCGGGGAGCAGCAACTTTTCCCTGAACTGGTCTTTCATGTATGCTCGGCACATTAAGGAACGCATGTCTCCGACGCCAGCCGCTGACGACCATATAGGAACGCCTACCCAAAGCTGTCTGAAAACGACCAGTGTACCGTGGTTGACTTGCTTTCCCGAACGTGCTGTCTTGCGGACGAGATCATTCAGGCAGACAGCAAAAAGGCCTCGAGCCCACAATGTAGGTATTGTGCGAAACGCAGCGTTGCGGAACCGCGCACCAAGCAGACTGATGGAAGGGCCAAGAGTGAGGTCACAAGTATATTCGTGAAACTCATTGCTCATGAATCGTTTCTGTCGTCCCGGCGACCCAGGATAGTTGCTATGGTGTGCCTCCGACGCTTAATAATTCATGCCGACGATCAGGGCATTTTAGACTTGGAGACGTCGGAGCTCGGGAAGTGGTGTCTTCAGTCTCTCCAGAGCTCTGTTCGTGAGCTTCGAATCGCTGCTGGGTGGGTACTCTCACGTCTGCTACTTGAGCCAGCTGACATGTACCAGGCGGACCCTGGCGACGTTCGTGCGGCCACCAACATCCAACAATAGCGACCCATCATATTTGAGTCATAACCTGAAGACCGCGCTCTCGTTGTTGAAGAGCATTTCTGAGCAGGCTGTCACGGGATTTAGCGAGACAAACATCATGGCTTGGGGCCAGCTTGGAAGGTAAGTCAATCGTCATCATCGCGAAAGGTCTCTCACATATCAAGGCACGTGTCTGGGAACGAGCTGAATCTGGTTCTGCTTCAACTACTCAAGTATCTTGGAGGCAACAACAGTCTGATAGCATCTTGTGCTTTCAACGAGGTATGCGTTTCCGTCCAAATCTGCGTCTGGCGTTTAACCAGGAGCATAGGTACTCAGCATCGCTACGAGCCGGCAAATATCTTGCTCGCAGCTATTCGAGCCCTTCTGGGGCAATTTGGCTTTTTTTGCGATCAAGGACATGGTGGCTAGGCCACAAATAAGTCGAGCTATTGCCGAGTTGCTGCAGATTTCTGTCAATCAGCTGCTCATACTCATTCAGCGTTTTGCGTTGCCCTGGCTTGTGCTTCTTAAAAAGCGCGATGTTGTGCAAAAAATCACCGAAGCCCGTCGAGAGCAGGATACGTACTTTTGCCTCATGGAGAGCTCCAACAATGGTCCCATTATGGCCCTCCTATTGATTCAGGACGCGCCCGATCCTGAAGAGTTCATCATGTCGAGGTTGCGTGAGTTCTCGTCAAGATTCGAGTCATCGACCATTGCCGAAATGATGAAGTCCGAGGCAGTCGCAATCATCCTCGAGCTGCTCAAAGCAGCTAGTGATGCGGACGAAGAGAGGAAGCCGCGGGTGAGTTTGGTAGACCTTGTCCATCCGTGAACTCTCGACTGATTTGCTGTCATAGATCGTCCACGCCTTGACCTGGATGGCAACAAAGGTCATGGCTCCTAGCCGGGAGCCAAGATCCAAGAAACATTCGGCTAACATCATCGGCCGATTTCTCGAATCTTACATGCTAGGGTCGATTTCCCGCTTGGTCGATGTGATTAACGACCGCATGTTGAGTGCGCCACCAGTCGAGGAACAACTGCAGTGTCTTCGAGCCATGGAAGAGATGATCAGGCTCTGCAAAGCCTATGTCCGGGGTGCGCGGCCTCAGGTAAGATATATTGAATCATGGTCACTTGATCTGTGCTGACATTTTAGATCACCGCCTGCCTGCTATCCGCATTGGAACGCGACCACCTGAGGAAGGCCGCGTTGTCATGTTGGGTCGCTCTGCTCACTCATCTGGAAGAAGAAGACATCGAGGTTCTCCTGGAACCCACGATATTCATCATTAAATTCTACTGGAGGCAATACGATGACTCATGTCGGGCCATGGCAGTGGCATTGATCCATCAAGTCCTAAAGGACTTCCCTGATGTAGTTGATAGGACGATCAAGGTTCTGCCGACGCTCAAGGACATACCGGAGCTTTCCGGGATTGAAGCAAAGCTCTCTTCTTTGAGACCATCTTTGGACCCGCGGGGAGCATTCGTTGTCTTTGCGGAACGCTTATCTCATCAAAACTCAGGCGTTGTTCTCCTAGCGCTCGAAGAGCTGGTGGAGTACCTCAAAGACAACCAGGGCTACCTACACAGTTCGGCCATCAGCGAGCAGCCCGACACCGTCGTCACCACACTCTTGCGGTCTCTGCTAGACTGTGCAGCAAAAGTCGGCACGTCGGATATTGTCGTAGCCAGCGCCTGTACACAATGCATTGGACTCATCGGCTGCTTAGACTCGAACCGGATTGAGACTACGCGCGAGTCAAAGTCGATGGCTGTGCTGCACAACTTTGAGGATTCCCAAGAGACAACAGATTTCGTGTTATTCATCCTGGAGGAGGTCTTAGTTAAAGCTTTTCTCTCCACGACTGACACAAGATTGCAAGGCTTTTTGTCTTTTGCGATGCAGGATCTCATGCAGAAAGTCGACCTTCAGTCCGCCTTGGCTTCATCGACGAAAATACCAAACAGCACGAGATCTGCCGAGGGAAATAGCGTCTACCGGAAGTGGATTGCTCTGCCGGAGAGTGTGCGGGAGGTCCTGAGCCCCTTTTTGACTTCCAGATATCTGCTGGCACCAGCCAAGATCCCACCAGCAGAGTATCCCATCTTTCAGCCTGGCAAGTCGTACGTCCAGTGGGTTAGAGTATTCGTTCTGGACCTCCTGCAGCGCCCCCTCAACGAACATGCGCGTCTTGTTTTCGAGCCGTTGAGTCGTCTCATCCGAGTCAAGGACGTCTCCGTCGCCGAATTCCTCCTTCCCTACCTGGTGATCCACGTCATTGTAGGCAACAAGAGCACGCAGAGTGAGCGCGATCGTGTTACAAATGAGCTTGTCAACATCCTGCGACACCAAACAAGGGACGACGCGACTTACGCAGAACGAGACGACATGAAGTTATACTGTGAAGTAAGTCCATGCCGCATTGTTTATTCGACGGCAAGCCACTCACATAATCTAGGCCGTCTTTCGTGTTTTTGATTACGCCATGAAGTGGGTGCAGGAGAATGGTCGAAATGCAAAGTCTGACCTCAAAGCCCTGGACCGTGTCAAGTCTGTCGTCGGCATGATTTCACCAGAGCTCAGATCACAGCGAGCGATGGATTGTAAGGAGTACTCACGAGCCTTGTTCTATCTCGAGCACCATGCGCAGGAGCTCGAATTGAAGCAAGGCGATCCCTCCGAACGGACGCGCCTTCTGGAAAGACTCCAGGATATATACACTCAAATCGACGAGCCAGATGGACTCGATGGTATATCCGCCCGCCTGCACGTCCTCGACGTCAACCAGCAAATTCTCAGTCACCGAAAAGCAGGCAGATGGACAGCTGCGCAGACGTGGTACGAGATCAAGCTTGCGGAGGAACCTAGTAATGTCGACATTCAAGTCGATCTGCTTACCTGTCTGCAGCAGTCTGGGCAGCATGGTATGTCGTGAACGGAAAGTGACATGAGCAGTGCAGCTAACGAATAGCAGACGTTTTACTGAATCACGTTGAGGGCATGCACTTGGACGTCACCTCGGAGAACCGAATAGTGCCCTTTGCAGTCGAAGCAGCCTGGGCCACAAGCAGATGGGACACTCTTTCCAAATACGCTGGCAGGTTTCATGGAGACTTCATGGAAGATTTCAATGTAGGTATCGCGAGGCTCTTTGATTCAATGCGTCAAGGAAAATCCACCCGAACGAAATTCACAGAGACGCTCGACCTTATGCGAAAGAAGATTGCGTCTGGCCTGACATACACAGCTACGTCTTCGTTGCAAGCATCGCATGAGCTCATGTTGAGGTGCCATATCCTTACGGACATTGAGCTCATTACTCAGGAGCGGGAGGTCGATGGCCCTCAACACCAGGCAACGTTGAAGCTTCTAGAGCGTCGTCTGGAGGTTTTGGGTGCCTATGTCTACGACAAGCAATATCTTCTGAGCATCCGCCGTGCCGCAATGCAGCTTTCGCAGTAAGAAGTACCAGTTGTCTCCTCTGCAAATCATTAGTACTGACGAATTTCTCACTCAGACCCATCTATTCAGACATTGACATATCCTCTCTCTGGCTATCCACTGCAAAACTTGCTAGGAAAGCCAACTCGATGCAGCAGTCCCTCAACGCCGTGCTCCACGCGTCCAAATTGGGAGATGACTCGGCTGTCATTGAGAATGCCAAGCTTCTCTGGAAGGATGGGCACCCGCGAAAGGCGATACAAGTCCTGCAGGGCGCCATTGACGCCAACAAGTTTGCAACACAAGTCAACAACAGTACAAGTTCTTCCAAGGGCATGGACATGCAACAGAGGTACTTGACCGCTCGAGCGCAGTTGACGCTCGCTAAATGGCTAGACGCTGCCGGCCAGACACACGTGATCAACCTGCGAGAGAAGTATCAACAAGCACCAAAGACGCTCTCCATGTGGGAAAAAGGACACTTCTTCCTGGGGAGACACTACAAGAAACTCATGGAGTCAGAACAGACTCTCAAGCTTGACCATCAAAGTGACGCCTACCTGCAGGGCGAGATTGCGAGACTGGTCATCGAGAACTATTTGCGGTCGCTCAGCTACGGCACGAAATATCTGTTCCAGACGCTGCCCAGGATATTGACGCTTTGGCTGGAGCTCGGGGCCCAAGTCGACAAGCCGCCCGAAGGCAAGATCTCCGTGTCACGCGAGCTCCACAAGAGACGTGTCGAACAGCTGAACATGCTGCATAAATTCCTCGACAAGTACATCATCAAGCTACCGGCGTTTATCTTTTATACGGCTCTGCCCCAGATTGTGGCCCGTATCGCACACCCGAGCCAGCACGTCTTCGACCGACTGAAGAACATCTTGGTCAAGGTGGTGGAGGCGCATCCGCGACAGGCGTTGTGGGGTCTTTTTGGTATCATGACGACGAAGCAGGCCACGGAGAGGCGGGAGAGAGGCCAGAGGATTCTGCAAACCCTGCGAAGCGTGTCAGCCAGAGTAGAGAATGGCAGCTACGACCTCAAGACGCTCCTTCGAATGGGAGAGAAGCTGGCGGAGCAGCTGTTGCTGGCTTGCAACAACGGCAACTTTCAGAGCAACCGGACGACCAAGGCGAGCATCACGCGCGACCTCAACTTTAATCACAAGTGTACACCGTGTCCACTGGTGGTGCCGATCGAGGCGTGCCTCACGGCGACACTGCCGACGCTGGCAGACAATGTGCGCCGATACAAGGCCTTCTCGCGCGACGTCGTGACGATCGACTCGTTCCTTGACGAGGTTCTCGTGCTGGGTTCGCTCGCGAAGCCGCGACGGTTGACGGCGCGGGGGTCGGACGGAAAGAATTACATGCTTCTCATCAAGCCCAAGGACGACCTGCGGACGGACCAGAGGCTGATGGAATTCAACGCCATGATCAACCGATCACTGAAGCGCGATGCCGAATCGAGCCGGCGGCAGCTGTACATCAGGACGTACGCGGTGACGCCGCTCAACGAGGAGTGCGGCATCATTGAGTGGGTGGACGGACTGAAGACGCTGCGCGACATTTTGCTGGAGCAATACAAGATGCGCGGGACGCACCCCGACTACAACGCCATCAAGCGCATGATGAAGGACGCCGTGACGGGCACGAGCAACATCCACCTGTTCACAGAGGGGGTGCTCGGGACTTTCCCGCCGGTGCTTCACCACTGGTTCATAGAGCAGTTCCCGCACCCGGCCGTGTGGTTCGCGGCACGGCTCAAGTACACGCGGTCGTGTGCCGTCATGTCCATGGTGGGGACGATTCTGGGCCTCGGCGACAGACACGGAGAGAACGTCTTGTTGGAGAAGGATAACGGCGGCATCTTCCACGTCGACTTCAACTGCCTCTTCGACAAAGGGCGGACATTTGGGCGAGGCGGAAGCGGGGTGGCGTTCCGGCTGGACGCACAACATGGTGACGGCGATGGGGATGCACGGGTACGAGGGCCCGTTCCGCGCGTGCAGCGAGCTGTCGCTGGGCATCCTGCGGCAGCAGGAGGAGACGCTCATGACGATCCTCGAGGCGTTTATCTACGATCCGACGCTGGACCTGCAAAAGGTCAAGAAATCGAGCCGCGCGGTGGTGGCGCCGGGGGAGGTCAGACTGGAACCGCCGTACGTGGTGGACAGCATCAAGCGCAAGGTACGGGGATTGCTCCCGAATGAGAGCATCCCGCTGGGTGTGGAGGGATACGTCGAGGAGCTGATCAGCCAGGCGGTCGATCCCAGAAACCTGTCGGCCATGTATATTGGATGGTGTCCTTTCCTATAGACGGGGGTATAGACGGGGGTATAGAGGGGGGTATAGAGAGGTGGTACTGGTGGGCGCATGGTTATGGTTCTGTTTGTCAGAGTTGGGAATATGACGAGTATGATCTTTCTGATATGGTTATTATATTGGCTTTCAGACTGCCGCGCCGAGTCACAGGGTTCGTCGTGTATGACCTGAGCACCTGGGTAGGTACCTACTTTACCTACCTACCTTACCTAGCTAGGTAGGTTGCTAAGGTACCTAGATAGGTAAGGTACCACCTACCTTAGGTGAGGTAAGTGGTAGGCAGAGGACGGCGCCAGCCCCTGTAAGTCTCGCCGTAATACTAAGTGTCAACTCCTGAGACGCTGGAGCCTCCTTCTTTAGGGGTGTCTCCCAGGGCATGTACGGCGGACCACCCGCTGGTTCCTGCCTGTTCCTCTGCCCAACAATGTAATGTCACATCATCATGCCAGGCAGGCGCGGCCCAGGGTAGCAGCGCCGCCTTCTTATCACGCGGCAACTTGGCCAGCCTCGGGCCACGACCAATTTCCCTCCTTCGTTTGCGTCTCATTCACTTCAACCCCCCGCAAACTAGAAGTTTTCCTCTGGTTCGTGGTGGCCCTTCCCAAGCACACGTCGTCCGTCTTCTGCTGCCATCAAAGGTAGTGCGCCCCCGCCAAACGTCACGCCAGTTGGTCGAACGCCTGGCGACTTCTCCAAGAACCCGCATCGGAGCCCCAACGACTCCAGGCTTGTGACCGACCCCCTCTGCGACAGACAATTATCGTCGTCTCATTCACGGTCAGCGACACATCCGACAGTATCGGCTGTTTTCCTGCGTGCCCTTCATTCCCACAACAGCGCGAAGCACAGAGAAGCAGTCAACATGTCGTCCTATCGAATCGGTCAGTTCCCTTCCGTGCTGCTTGCGTGCACTGCACCCAGGCGTCTCAACGTCACGCGTTCTCATGCATGACGCGTGCCGAGATCCATCAAGCTCATTCCTCAGCCGACCACAAAACTGACATGCCATCCTCCCCTCCCAGAGGTCTCCGCCAACAACCGCGCCGGCTGCCAGGATAGTGTCTGCAAGGCCACCGCGACCAAGTGCCTCAAGGGCCAGCTGCGCTTCGGCACGTGGACCGAGATCCAGGACCACGGCAGCTTCCGCTGGAAGCACTGGGGATGCGTCTCCGGCAAGCAGATTGAGGGCCTGCGCGAGACATGCTCGCGTGGCGGCGACGCGTTTGACTTTGATGCTATCGACGGCTATGATGAGATGGCCGATCATCCCGACCTGCAGGCCAAGATTCGCGAGGCGGTCGAGCAGGGTCACATTGCGCCCGAGGATTTCAATGGTGTATGTTGTCTTGCTTTCCATTCCTTGCGCCTCATCTCCAACAGGAGCCATGGCGCAAGTCACGGTTCGACAGCAACGATGATGCTAATCTCACCTAGGATCCCGAGTACAACAAGCTCGGCCAACGCGCCATCCGTGGTCGTGCAGCCGTGACCAAGGCCAAGGCTGGAGAGAATGACGATGCCGCAAAGGACGAAGAGGCCGAAAAGGCGCCTGCCAAGGGTAAGAAGCGCAGCCGCAAGGCCGCTGACGACGAGGGCGAGCCTGAGGCCGCAGAGGACACCAAGTCGAAGAAGCGCACCAAGACTGCCGCCGCTGCTTCAGTCAAGAATGACGAGGAGGAAAAGCCCAAGCCTAAGCCCAAGCCCAAGGGCAAGACTGCCAAGACCGCTGTCAAGGCGGAGGAGTCTGACGACGAGAAGCCGAAATCCAAGGCAAGGGGCAAAGGTGCCAAGGCCGCTGTCAAGAAGGAGGATTCAGAGGAGGACACTGAGGACGTTCCCGTCACAAAGGTCAAGGCCAAGCGCGGTAAGGCTGCCCCTGCTGTCAAGGCCGAGGATGAGGAAGAGCCCAAAGCAAAGCGGGGGGGCAGGCGTACTGCCGCTAAGAAGGCTGTTGTGGAAGAGTCGGAGCCTGAGGACGAGGACGAGGAGGAGCCTGCTCCCAAGCCCAAGCTCAAGAAGGCCGCCGCTGCCAAGGGAAGAAAGAAGACAGAGGTTGCTGAGGAGGGAGACAGCAACGATGCGTCTGCCGCAGCACCCAAGCGAAGGAGCCGTAGGAGTGCAGGTGGAGCTTGAGGTTGTGCCTCTTGGGTGGTAGCGAGCCATCAGTAGCCTACTATGTTCTGGGGTTGTGTCATTCTGGTTTGACCAGCGGCTGTCTTTGAAGTTGTACGTTATGCGGTTCAGTCTGAGCTTGAGGCAGGTGCATGTGTTGCTGCAAGCGTTACTGGAATAGGGTACGGGTGATTACGAGGCCAGGCCTCGGCCATGCCTGTTGTACTATGTACTATATAGGAACGGGTGACGGCGACGCTTTTCATATATGGTGAGAGCCAAAAAGACTTCGCCTCAAACCTTTGGTATCTGCCTGTCTACGTAGTTGTGAATATCGTAGTCAAATCGTAGACTTCATTCGGAATTGCCTCTCCTCTATGCGGCCCCCAGTGTTGTCCATTTTGCCAGCAACTCGTTGACGATTTTCGAGTCATCTTCACTGCCGTCGAATTCCTCATCCTCCATCTGGGGGACACCATTGTCGACCTCATCCTCTTCATCACCGAAACCTCCAAAGGACGCCTCGACGACTTTCGTGTAGGATTGCTCTCTGCTCCTCGTCGATGGGTGATGAAAAATGATCTCGCTATAGGTGATGTGCTGCGGAGCAGGTATACTATCGCTTGCGTATGGGCTCCCGCCCACAGGGGAATAGCTCGGAGAGACCGGCGAGTAGCCCGGCGACGCCGATTCATACGGAACCGCAGGCAAGTAGGGCGTGGACGGCTGCGTGCGGCCGTCGAGCGGCGGCCTGAACGGCGAAAGCCCCCCGCCGAGATGTGGCCTCGGTCTCGGGG